ATATTAATATCTTAAGTGCTGTGTCTGTCTGTTACATTTTTACGACAATTATTATAAAAAAAACAATCCACTATCGGTTCCCAACAATCCCCTTTCTACCCTTTCGTATTTCGATTCTTGTACTTCTGGTGTCTTCTCTGTTCGTGACAGTTCAATAGCTACATAACAGATACAATTTATTTGTCAGTGAACAAAAGATAAATAAACAGTATCCGTTTCATGTAGCCACCGAAAACGTTATCACACATAATTCTGTATCTTCGATCTTCTTTGGTGTGATTTTGACAATTACACTGTAGAATTAATGATTAGATTATAGTGCAAAAAATCTAGTCACTAATTCTTCAAATGAACTAATCAAAAGTGTGTAATACTGAAAAAAAAATTGTTGAAAATATCGACATAATCGGCTGTATCTTTTGATTGGCTTGGCTTAAAAGTTTGATATTTTCACAGCTTAAAGGAACAATAGACTTAAATATTTCATGTGAATTTCCACTTGATACGTCCACGCGTTCTTGAGATAAAGGGTCTTGACAGACAGACAGACGGACAACAAAGTGATCCTTTATGGGTTCCGTTTTTTCTTTTTGAGGTACGGAACCCTAAAAACAGAAAAACTTAAAAGACCTGGTGCATAATTCTAAAAATATTATATTGTCAGAGCTTAGAAAGTAAATACAGCATTCAGCTATTGACACAGAATCACTTTACTACACTTACTACAAATGCAACTTAATTATAAATGCATTAAAATAAACAATAAAAATAACAAAAGAACCTTGCATGTGCACCGTTCTTCAACATTTCATTATTTAAAGCTTAAAAATGAGATTACATCATATCGTAAACTCAAAAAATAATAGGTTAATGGTTAGAATAAATTAACGCCTATCTCCTAAATACCATCTACTTGGCTCATCAAAATTTCCAAAATCCTGGGGCGTACCAGGGGGTGCCATAGGACTTGTGACTTGACTTGACTTGATCGCCCCGGGTGCCAACCCAAGCTACGCCGCCACTACGAAGTAATAATTTGTGTAGATAATCGGCCTACTAAGATAAGTACCTACACGGGTAGGTACTCATACATAATTCCAAATTCAGAGTAGGTACGTCACACATACAATATTATTTAGGGCCGATTTTTCAATCGTCAGATAAATTTTAACCGAAGAATAAGTTTGTCAATTGACATATTTCCCATACTGGAACTGTCAATGTGTCAAACTTATTCTTCAGATAAAAGTTATCCGACGATTGAAAAATCAGGCCTTAAACAATAATAACCAAAAAATTCAACACATTTTAACATCAATCAAGAAAGAAAATATTATACACAGTATTAAAATTCATGTTTCTGAGTACTTTATGACGATATTATGCTAATATGAATACATTTTCGGGGTATCTTGCTACTCCTCTTGCGTCAAGATGACTGTCCAATGACGACTGTGACGAATGCGCGTGAAAGACGGATAATTCCAAGACCAACGTGATATCTAAGTAACGATAGACATCACAGTGACTTGGACTGTCGTCAATCACCGGCTGGTGGTGTGATGGGTCAGGTGGAACGAAGGCCTTCGATAACATCGGGTCCAATCAACGAACGATAAATTCGTAATTCCATGTATACATAATCTTAAATTCAGAGTAGGTACGTCACACATACAATATTATTTAAACAATAGTAACCAAAAAATTCAACACATTATAACATCAATCAAGAAAGAAAATATTATACACAGTATTAAAATTCATGTTTCTGAGTACTTTGTGACGATATTATGCTAAGATGAATACATTTTCGGGGTATCTTGCTTCTCCTCTTGCGTCAAGATGACTGTCCAATGATGATGACTGTGAAGGGTGCGCGTGAAAGACGGATATTTCCAAGACCAACGTGATATCTAAGTAACGATAGACATCACAGTGACTTGGACTGTCGTCAATCACCGGCTGGTGGTGTGATGGGCCAGATGGAACGAAGGCCTTCGATAACATCGGGTCCAATCAACGAACGATAAATTCGTTTTCAATGCACAAATCATTGTATTATCTATATTTGCTGCTTCCGCTTCTTCTCATCTTCAATCTTCTATGGCGACTATTCTATATCAGTCAGATGATATCAGTGTCGAACTAAATGCTTGGATACAATTAAAAAACAGAGCCACTAAGGCCGCAAAGCAGCCATAGAAAGCGGATTTAATTTGGAAGTTGTTACAATGTGAAGATTATTTTATTTATTTGGGTAGAGTCATTTATCTTAAGATAGTTACAAGTACACAAACCTATCGTACACACAAAGTGGACCGACGACCTGATAAAGGTAGCAGGAAGGCGCTGGATGCAGGCCGCTACCAACCGTGCGATGTAGAAGTTAGGTTGGGGGAGGCATATACCTCCTCCAATGACATAGGTTCAGCAGTGGACGTCCTATGGCTGAAACGATAATGAAGCCTATCGTAGCGTCACAAGGTTCCATGACTATGCTGGAACTACATACATAGTTGTATTACTTTGCCATTAAGCTTTAGTAAAAACGCTTTAAACGTTCGCGTTGCATGACAATGAGGGTTTTCGCGAATGAAAAATCCGCCAGGTGTCAATACGTAGACGCGAGGTCCAAATGCTGCATGATTGGTTATTTTTGACATGACATTGACAGATATGTCAAAATCCACCAATCACGCAGCAGTCAGACCCCACATCCACGACCCGCCATCTAGTGGATCTTTCATTCGCGAAAACCCTCATTGCAGTGATAAAAACGTGACTGTTTGAAAATGCCAGACAAAAAAAAAGTATTGGACAATTCATGTAAAATATTCGAAAACAATCGCAGACAAAATGCTATACAAAGTTATACGCATAAAGTACAATAAGTAGGTACCAATGTGAAACATCTTTCAATCCGAATTGTAGGTACAATAATTTAATCCTGAATAAATGAATAAAGATCAAACTGTATCTAAAATTAATAACATCTGAATACCTAACTAGCGTAATTTAAACGTACGTACGTAACACACAAGTGTGTATTAGTCGACCAATATCAGAACCATGAAGTATTGAAAAATATTTAAAAGAGTTTTTATTTTCATAAACACCGAGACTGGATCATTATTAAGTGTTAACCAATACAGAGCAATTATATTATTACATTAACTAGGTACTCTTACTTTTAACGAAGATTCCTTTATTATGCATTTGTGAGGTAGGTATAAAAAAGTAAAAAGAAAACTCAGTTGATACATCCCTGACACCTTACACAATTTAATATTACCGCATTTACCGCCATGTAAATATAAAATAAAATTCAGTTATCATCACTTCAATAAAGTGTATTTTTATTGAAATCTATGTATGTGTTTTATAACATTCTTAGTTTTTGTAAAATTTTGTCTGTTACTGAAAAACTGTATCGCGCGCGTCCGTTTCAAAAACCGGGATAAAAACTATCCTATGTCCTATTTCGGGACTCAAAACAAAATTTCATCAAATCGGTTCGTGTGGCGTGAAAGCGTGTCAGACTAAAGTCACTTTCACATTTATAATATTAGTAAGGAAGTAGGGATTTCCGTCAACCCACAATTAATTAAACAGCCTTTAATGATTTGCACCTACACTATACCCAATGTAAACTGCATTAACTGTCAATTGTAATCAAATCCATCGAAACATCGCCATGGAATTGTACGTCGCGTCGTAATAAGTCAATAATTGATATGCCGCCGCCGTACAGTGATAAAGCCTACGCTGCATATAGTACACTGTGTCCCCCTGGCGGGACGCACACTGGGGTAATTCGCCGAAATGCAGAGCCAAATATTGCCAATGAGAAATTAATTTAGAATATGAACAGAGATCGCCAGCAAATGATTATGTTTATGACAGATTAGGTATAAGTTTTCGCCATGGTTGGATGGATATTATCTACAAAATGTTACGGTGTCAGACCTTAAAATTAGATGAATAGAACTATTAATACTCACAGCTATGATGTTCCCTGGATTTTCCACCACCCGTCGGATGCACACTGTAACATCAAACGTTTTGCATTAGAAATTAGAAGAAATCTTTTTTATTTATGAAGACACCCTATTTTTTCAAATCAATCTTATTTAGTATTATGAACTAAATAAGTTTGATTTGACACATAAAAAATCCATCGAAAAAAGATTATCAATAAATGAAACTTCCTTTGATTACCTATATCTGAAATATAAATTTTAATGGAAACAGCACAAATTCAGGCGATCGCAAATCGCGATCTCTTCCAGACAAACCGGACAGTTGTTTAAAAACAGAACTTTACTAGAACAAAAATAAATTGCTTACATTTGTATGAAGCAGTCGGCGACGGGAATAAAAAAAATGCACTATGTTAATTGGCCCGGAGACGTGTAGCCGACGACGTGTCCGCGCGAGATATGCGAGGAACTCGCGAGCGCAGCCCGGAGCAGGCCCGGAGCCCGATCCCCTCCATCCAGGCTGCGACGTCAAGGGGGATTTACACAAAACGATCGGAACCAGTGCGACTGGGTTCTTTTTATTGATATCATACTGTAAACTTCAATTGTTCCGACCCTTCGCGATTCTCGTTTCAGCCAAATGACGTCCACTGCTGGACAAAGGCCTCCCCCAAGGTTTTCCACAATAATTATTCCTTTGCGATTAAACAACCGAAATTGGCATTAATAGACTTTAAAATGGGTCACACGAGTTTAGTAGAGTGAGAAGAAAATGAGCATTCGCATGTATAGAGTCTAATAGACCATGCTGATTACGTATACTAATACTCGTACGTGTTGTAGTACGTGTCTAAAAGCCCGATGGTTGCGAACCTTTTATCTGTGTCCAGGTTCGATTCCTGTTCTGGTCAACATAAAAGTTTTTGTATATTCCTGCATTATGTCAAGAAATGCGTATTATTTAAAGTTGTTAAGTGTTTCATGAGATATATGTTGCTCATACGTTTTGTTTTTTCACAGAGTCGCGTCCGGGAGTGCCTCGTCAACCTACTAACTACATGCGGCCAAAGAGTTGGTCTGCCCAAGAGCCCATCTGTAAGTACAAATGCCGCTTCCACCCCCACACTAATAAAGATCAAATTCGTTTACAAACTAACATCTTTTGGCAGAGTACTTGTGTGGTGAGGGCTTCCGTACATACGAACTCTCAGTACACGAACAGTGAGCATACAATAATGACATGAAATTTTTATGCATCGCTGCGACTAGGATGATTTAATAACCACTTTATGTTCGAAGGTAACTCGCCTACTCGTTTTGTCGCAATCGCTTCCACGCATACACCCTCTGTACAGGCTACGCTCGTGTTGCCAGGTCGCTTCAGGGGACGTTTACACCTTTTGCGGGGAATTATTTGACTATGATAGATGAATATATTTTTGGGATTTTAATTTATTTATTTATCCATTAGTAAATTCAATCTTACAATCATTTTCAAAACGATTGAACACACCAAACTAATTTAAAATTGTATTAGCTAATACAATTTCTTAACAAATCGCGAAAATCGACTCTCTTTGGATGTGTACCTGGCAACACAACACGATTAGGTTGCTCGTTCGATGGGGACCGACGTTTAGATGTCACGTTAGCTCCACGAGCACGTCACGATCTCGGCACGGCGCCGCGGCGACCTCGCGACGGCCCGGCGACGACACGACACACGCATCGACGTCATCCTATCGCTTATGCTTCTTACAGTTTATTTCCACACATTCAATACATTATTATGTTGCTACACTGTCCTCATTAGTACTCAACTGTCTCTACCTGGTTCACGATCAGAGCTAGAACTGTTCATGACACTTTGTAACTTGGATAGCGGTTTGTTTACCTCAGGACTGTCTGTGTAGGTATTTATTAATTATTTATTTACAATATTTTTTATTTCTGTGACACGCACGCACAACGTTACTGTATTTTTAAGTAACATCAATAAATTAATAAGTTTTAGTCTAATTTTGTGTTTTGATCGGATCGTGATCGTGCCATGTATTCTCATCTTTCACTCGACAAAAACAGATGAAATGTATTCAAACGCGCAATACTGTCCAGTGCAACTTATCAATCTGATCTCAATATTAACATAATTTACCTATTCTTAGTAAAAAACGTGCCTGATATTTACGTCTAGACACAGAATAATACCTAGATACATTTTTATCCGTTGCTGCAATTTGCGGTAAAGTTATTCTAAAGCGTCAGAATAATTAATTTACTGTTTTGATTAGTTTAGGAGTTTACGACATTCCAATTTAATTTTTTTAGCTGTAGCTACCTACCTAGGTTTGGATAGTAGCTATGACATTACGCTGACGACATTTTGTCATTTCACTAAACATAAAAGCTCTTGTTGTAGTAGCTACAAAATCTTTTGGTGACATAGCTCCAAATTAACAAAAGTACAAATGTAATTAAATTCCTGTATCTTGTCTCTGTACGATACAACCCTACAATAGTCAACGTGCTGCCTGTTTGTATGTCCATTACCTGACGTAACGAATCTTTCTTTTCTACAGCTGATCTATTCTGCTTCTCGTAAGATGTGACTATGCTGACGTGACTGTCTTGCTCCCCGTCGTTGCATGAGTTCCCATCACTGTCCGACTGGCTTCTAATCGCGTGTCGCTGTGGTTCCGCAGGTGATCTTCAGCCAAAGCTCGGAGTTGCTCGAGCGAGAGTCGTCGATGGCTTCCTCGCTGGAGGAGGTGTCGGGCACTCCGGGGAATGAGCCTTCCGCGGCCGCCCCGCCTACGGACCACTTTGGGGTCTTCAAGGACTTCGACTTCTTGGAGTACGAGAGCGAGAGCATTGAGGTAAGTGGCTGCGTTTTAGGCACGGACTACACGAATTCGAATTCCGGGAAAATCTTTACAAATAACTCGGATCTTTGTAGTCCTGCCTTTAGAATTGTTTTATTCAGTGTGTTTTCAAGCAAAGCTACAGTATACCAAATGGGGAGAGGTGCGTTTGCAACAGTATATCGTTTGAAAGATTAGTTTTACTTCAGTAGCTTTGTAGATACATAAAATTGCAGTAATTATGCTTAGTTAATTGTTACTCGTATTTAACATATTATACAACAGCTATTTTGGTCTTTTGAGGCTTGTAAATGTAAATAACTGTAAAATCTAAATTGTAGAGTGATTATTATGTCTACTTAACGCATATATTGAGTCCCAAATATTATACACAGATTTTATTTGTTTGCAAGCGTATTAGTACCTCCAATTAAGTGCCCTCCTCCAATTAACGCATGGTACCGGAGGGTCGTCACGGGCTTTTATCTTGCTACCCTTTATTTCGGCGGTAGCCAACATCAATTAGTGGCCATTATAAGTAGCTTTGCATTTATAGTTATTAAAATGATCTGTAGTTAGTAGCTCTTATTAATTTACTTGATAAAAGGTAGAGGCTCTCAATGAGGGTTTTCGCGAATGAAAGATCCGCTAGATGGCGGGACGTGGAAGTGGGGTCTGACTGCTGCGTGATTGGTGGATTTTGACATATCTGTCAATGTCATGTCAAAAATAACCAATCATGCAGCATTTGGATCTCGCGTCTACGTATTGCCATCTGGCGGATTTTTCATTCGCGAAAACCCTCATTCGTTTGCTTTGTTTGAGGATATTTTTTTTCGTAAGACTGAAGCATTGTTTTGATGTGCGTTGCAGGGCGAGAGTTCGGACAACTTCAACTGGGGCGTGCGCCGGCGGCTGCTCAGCGAGGAGCGCGACGAGGGCGCCGCGCCGGAGCGCAGCCCGCCGCAGCGGCCGCGCCCGCCCGACCACGCCCACACCACCAAGGTATCATACCAGGCCTGGCTCACTCCGCGCGGTACATCCGATAATTACCTACAGCGAAGCGCCCCGCCGGCGGGTATTATATCAGTCGAGTGGCACGCGCGCGCCCGTCAGGACGCTGGCGTGCGTTGTAGTACATAATTCTATGATCGAAGTATTATTTAAAAATGAACATAAAGAGAAAGAAATATTATGCGGCGTTCGGGTGTTTAAATTCAAAAAGAAATATACCGGATTTATCTTTTTTTTCGCTTCCTAAAGATGCTGAAAGGTATGTTGGTCATGTAGGTAATCAATAATTCTTAGGATAGTATAGGAACCTAACCTACCATGACTACTACTCAGAATGCGTTCGTTCGTTTCAGCCAAATGACGTCCACTGCTGGACAAAGGCCTCTCCCAAGGTTTTCCATAATGAATGCGTACTTACATACATACGTGTCATGAGGTACGTACCTCATGACATATAAGTAGATTAATTATTTTTTTCACTAGACAGCAACCCTAACAGCGTAAGAAGAGTTCAGAGGCACACGATAGAAAGAGACAAAACTTATAGGTGAATAAAATTGTAGGTACGTAGTGCTGTGCGAGCTGAATTCCACTGTATCGCGTCGCAGCAAGACTCGCATTTATTTAAATCGTCTTGCGGAGTAATCCTTCTGTACCTGTACTATTACTTATTCTGTGATCATACTCGACATTCAAGCAAGTATTACAACTAGATTATTTATTATTACAATTATGATTGTGGTGGTACTGGTGTCTAATGTGTCTTAGAGCACTAGGCCTCCACTCCCGGTATGGATTCTATTTGGGTTAGCCCCAGAACAGACGGTGAAACGCAACTGCAACGAAACTGCAAAAGTTTTGAGTTGCATCTAAGTTTCTGCCATAGCGTCCGTTGAGAGACCAGACGCGACCAGATTGAAACTTTCAGTTTCAGTTTCATTCATCTGAATCATCACAAATTTGCAGTTTCGTTGCAGTTGCGTTTCGCCGTCTGTTCTGGACCTTAGAGCTTATTGATTCTTTTTAGGTTAGAGCTTATTCACAAACGATACTTGCTTAAGTGAAGAAGCAAATCGAACGCACAGCGTTGTATAGAGCTCTGTGATTGGTTCGTGTGTCCACGCGCACTGTCAGACCTCATAGTAATATTTGTGAATACGGGCGTCATTAAGGCCCGATTCGACCAAACTTTTACCCGAGAATAACTCCTGGTATAACTGGCACATTGACAGTTTCAGTACCGAGACTATTCCCACCTCTCTTTCCCACGGCTGCAACTCCTGTGTAGCCAGAATCTACAGCTTGACCGCCAATAAAAACCCAACCAGTGATGGTCAAGTTTGTCCCGGGGGAAAGTTAAACCGTCATTGGATCCGCAACGAAATTAATCAGAAGAACATAGGAGGAGTTCGAAGTCAAGGTTCGACTTCCCTCCGTTGCAAAGCGGATGACAGGTGACAAACAAAGGTTTAAAACCTTTATGAAAAGATAACCACGGACAATAAACATCAATTAAGGTGGCCTATCTTGTGAAGTTGTGAGCAATTAGCTACCTGCCAGTAATATTTTTCACAAAATCGCTTAAAGCACGGAAAATTTTCCTTGTCGCGACAAGATCGGTGTAATAAATCATGTAAGCAGAAGTCTGATACCAGGGTGGTTTCCGATAATCATTACGATTACTTTTCCGTATACGTTTTCATATATTTCCCGGGGTGCAGCCAATTTCCTTTGTGATCATATTTCCGCCGAAGTACAGTCAGCGTTATTATTTGTATAAAAGGTAGCTATTTTCTATCACGAACGAGTAAAATACTTGCGTAAATTGTACAAAAATGTTGATTGAAGGAAAAATGTAATTAAAATTGTCGGTTAATAGACTGATCCATAAATAAAAGCTTTAATTCATTTAACATAACTAAAAATATGTATAGTATGAAAATAACGAATATAATTAAGAATGTATTTTTCATAGTAGTAATTATAAGAATGTATGGTATACTTATATTTATATAATCATTTATTGCACATAAATACGAGTACATCGTATATTATTACTATGTACTATATAAATGGTATAGTCGGGTAGGTACAGCAATATAGTTAATTAAAATATTGACACAAATTATATTATAATTCGTATTGTAAAAGACATAGTCCAATACAAGTAGAAATAAATAATTGTTAACAAAAAATAAGGAGAACCACGACATGAAAAGAAAATTACACAATAAAATCAAGGAGCTTTCTTGCCTTGTCTAACACATACTAAGTCTAAAACCACCCCCAAAACCTGAGCCTGGAGCTGAGGCCACGTCTGCCTGCCGGGTGGGCGGGAGCTCACTACTGGATCCAGGCGACGATGTAGCTCCCTAGTACAGTCGCGGAATGAAAAGGTTCGTCACCTTAGTTTCCGTTTTCGCTTGCACTAAGTACTGTAAGAGTCAAACCTGCCAACATAACAGTGCAAGAAACAGTGCTGCTAACATTTAAATAAATATGACGTTTGCTAACGAATAAGGTTTTGCTTGTTTATTTTTCTATCCCATCAGTGCAATGCAATGATGACATTGACCAATTGACAATGGTTTTTTTTTATTTATTAGAAATAATAATGGCAGGTTGAATCAACAAGAAGGTTTTAGTTTATCAATCTTCTTGACAAGATAAATCGTCAAACAACTTTGATCTGAATAATTTTGAACATTACTGACGAACAGTTAAAGATTTATTTTCTCTTACTCGAGATTATTCTGTAACTGTAGTTTCAAAAGGTAATATGTGCTCGCGATTCGTTGAAGGAATCAATTTGAAAACTGACGAACCTTTTCATTCCGTAACTGTACATTATCCGTATCTACAGGCTGTTAGGTAAATGGGTATATGAGCCGGCACTAGCCCATGTTAACATGGTCATATAAATGGTATGGTGAAGACAGAAAATTGATATCTTCATTTTAATTATTTTATTTTTCATACAAATCAGATTTTATAAAATTTATTAGATTCTAAAAATTTTATAAAATCTGATTTGTATGAAAAATAAAAGATCAGATTTTAAAAAATAAAATGATGATATCAAATTTCTGTCTTCACCATACCATTTATATGACCATGTTAACATGGGCTAGTGTCGGCTCATATACCCATTTACCTAACACCCTGTATATGTTATCCTCCTTGTCCTTATAGCTCACGCACACGTCCAAACGAGGATGTGTGGCTTTGAATGTGTGCGCGAGACTGGTAAGTGTGCGTGGCGGCGACCAATGGCGTGAATGTGCGTCATCGCGAGGGGGCCCCCACCCCTCGCTTCGGGGGGCCAGGGTGGCCCCCGCGGAGGGTGCGCTGAATCTGTGTGCGTGAGGGGGGCCCGAGCGCTGCGGAAAAGCTGACCCGTTGCAACTACGCATGTGCAACGCAGATATTATCGATTTTGCCCGCCGCGGAGCCATCCTTTGTTCCTTTGTTTCAAATTTTAAGATACTATACCCTGAGTAATTTTCACAAAAACGCTATTCACACGCTTTTTTTTAGCCCCACTGTACTAGAGTACGACTAATTTGATCGCTTATTATTATCCTTATCACTATTTTCCGTAGATCGATGGAGCTGATATTTCTGTAAGTCCCCATGTCAATACAAGCAACACGCAGCCAAAGATTATAAAGGCTCTTATGATGGCTCAGAAGTGTGCTTAGACTCATAATAAGCTCTTTTTTAACTGTCACAGGCCGGTGTCAGACATTGAAAAGTTACATGAGGCCTCATGACCGGAGATGACCAAATGTCCAAACGATTTTGCCGTATCGTATACATACAGTACCTATATCGTATTAGTGTTTGCCAATTCACTAATCGCTATTTATTTATTCAGAGCACAAAAAAGGTATAATGTATAGCATTCACTATATTAATTATAAGTAGCTATCACAAACTAATGCCTAATGCTGACCACGAAATTTACCAAGTGAAATTCTTCAATAAACTCGCCCCTTAAAATTGTATAAGCCCTGCAATATTTAGATTGCGATACGAAAGTGCCATTAAGATCCATGAGTACTTCAAGAAAATTCGAGAAATTTTCTGTTTACAATACTGAACCATTCCAATGGAGATTAAAAAAAATTTAATCAAGTCTACCTGTTATGTATAAGTGACCCATTTTACTAAAGGTGATTGCACTGGATTGACGTCATTACGGTGATGTGCGTCATATATTGCCCTATATACACTGCGCATGTGAAAAAGCACTGCAGGTATTGCAACCTATTTACTGGTTAATAACCCTTTGTTCAAATAAAATATTATGTACAATACAGTTAACGCCATCTATCGGGCGGGGGCGGAAGCTGTGACGTGAATGTACGAGCTGAAAGAATGGCCAACGTGCGATCTACGGTGTACGTGACATACTTAGTAAATATGATCTCAAGAATACGTTTTGAAATACAAGAAATTTATACCAATTTCATCTGAGTTTATTTATCAGATATGACACTCAAAGTTCCTTCAATGAGGGTTTTCGCGATTGAAAAATCCGCCAGATAGCAATACGTAGACGCGAGGTCCAAATGCTGCGTGATTGGTGGATTTTGACATATCTGTCAATGTCATGGCGGTCAATTATTTATTGCATCCATAATGTTACGGAGATGGTATGGTATTATTTTTAGATACAACATTTTAGGAGAGGGGAAGAATTTATAAAAAAAATAATTGAACCAATTAATAATTTAACATTGTTAGCCATTCTTTGTGCACGCTTAACACGCTATATAATGGTTTTCTCCCCTACCCACGAGATGTCGCAAGAAGTATATAAGGTTTACGATAACTCACCCATTTCTTATGTAAATCTATTTCTAAGTACTCACATAGATCGCATATAATACTCTTTAACAATACAAATATTGTGTTTTGTGTAAAAACCTGGAATCACAACAAATAATGACAAAAGGGTTCGTGTAACTAGCGATTGGTGAAGCCTTGCTGGTAAATAGCAATATGTATTTTGGAGTTACATAATGTGGTAATACCTTAGTAGATGGCGCTTTTAACATATAACCAACCTATGCTGTAAATAACAACAGTCTAGTAACGTTCACGGTTGTGGGTTCGAATCCCGCTGACAGCAAATTTTAGTGTGATGAATACGATCGGGAGATATTTAGATATATAATTTTTAATAGTGTTCCAGTGCCTAATATGTAATTTATTACATAAAATGTCAATTTAAACTAGTGGTCAACGCGAGTTTTGTAACTTTTTGTAATACGTTTATTTTCGTTAAAAATGCTTTTTATTTGCTCGTCGTGAAAGAACTTACAAATAAAGACGATTCTTGAGGCCTATCTTGAGTGACTGAAATATCCAGTAGAAAAGAAGGGCTACTTTTCTACTGGATATTCTAGGCATGTGCTCAGGGCTCTGTTGTGATCAAGGGAGGCCTCCGTCTATACAAAAAACATTGAAACGGTAACCTGTGAATTCTGATAGTACAGTACGTATGTAAAATGGTCTTTAGGTCATTAAATGTGTACGAGCACGATCGTACATCTGCATCGGCACCTGGCCCTGCTGCCCTGGGCGACCTGGGCACAGCTTCCTTCCTATCAAACCTTATTATGTCTAAGTATTTATTGTTAGGCAGGGCTAGGGCTCTAGGGACTTAGTGTCTTAGGGAATAGGGACTCTAGGCTCACTAGGGAGTTAGTTTCCTTCCTGACCGCATATCCCGGGCACGGGAGCGGTGCCTTACAACCACTGCCTCCCGCCCGTACAAAATGCCCAGGCCCTTCAGTAGGTTAAAGACTCTTAAATTGGTCAGCTTTTCGCGTCAGTTCACGTCCATCCAAAAATCATCACGCCAGATGACGGGCCACGAAATTTTTCGTGACTACCATAATCCAACCGTCTGGCCGTAATGCCCAGCTTTACAGGGGTGGAAGTGGTGGGAAACAGAGGTGGGATTATAGTCCGGTCACCAAGCACTTAGAATCGTCCAATGACCCCAAGCTACCCATCCTTATCGCTCGCGCATAATTATATTGCTGTCGAGCTCGCACTCTCACTGCTGCCACCCGTCACACAGTCGCGCAATATAATTACGCGCGAGCGATAAGGATAGGTAGCTTGGGGTCATTGGACGAAATTCTGCGTGCTCGCCGACCGGACTAGACATAACGGTGGTGCTGTTTTGCGCAGAGCACGCACGAGGACTCGTCGGACGAGGAGGGCGGGTGGGAGGAGGGCGCGGCGGGGCGCGGGGAGGGCGACGCGAGCGCGCACGAGCTGGCGCTGCGCCCGCGCACGCATTCCTTCTCCAGCGCCTCCAGCGGGGAACCCGACGGTAAGGACATACATTAACTAGCTTTCTTTGAAGGGACGCGCGCTGGTAGCTTGAAGAGCTTTTCCAGCTTCACCGGGCAGAGTGGCGAGTACAGAAGGTACTCTAGCCGTTTGGCGATCGTCGGTGCGCGTGCCGACGAGGCCGAGTGTGGGCTTATCCGCGTCGGTCACAGACCGACGTTCGCGATCGGGCCGTATCGAGCGCATAAGGCGCCCAATCAGTGGCGAACCCAACTAGAGGGTTGCCCACCGCGGTGTTGGACCAAAGTCCAGCCTACGGCGGGCTCACTCTAGTGGGCCCGATCGAGGGGACTACGGACGCGGCCTGAGGGCGCCACGGTAGGCTCGGACCTCGACTCAGGCCGTGTCCGAAGGACAGATAGGGGTATTAACTAACCTTTATGACTGAGATACTTATAGGGTTTAGAAATACACTCGACATCAAATAAATCGCACCTCCCGCAACAAGCACTTCTCAAGCGTATTCATCCCCACTTCCAACCAACATTGGGTCCATTTGAAAGCCTAGTTCTAAACTTCATTGCTTTAAAGGAAAGGTTTTTACCCCAAAAATGTGTTTTTAGAAGGATCCAGAGTCATTTCTTCAAAAAATAGGTAGTTACGCTTGAGCCAACTTTTATGGCTATTNAAGACACTAAGTCCAACCATCAGCCTAACCACACCAGCGTCAGGCTCCACACCAGCAGCCTGGCCAAACCAGCGCCAGGCTCACCAACAGCCTGGCCACACCAGCGCTGGGCTCCACACCAGCTGCCTGGCTACACCAGCGCCAGGCTCACCATCAGCCTGACCATACCAGCCTGGCCACACCAGCGCCAGGCCCACCATCAGTCTGAACACACCAGCCTGGCCACACCAGCGCCAGGCCCACCATCAGCCTGACCATACCAGCCTGGCCACACCAGCGCCAGGCCCACCATCAGCCTGGCCACACCAGCGCCAGGCCCACCATTAGCCTGACCACACCAGCATGGCCACACCAGCGCCAGGCCCACCATCAGCCTAGGCAACACCAATGCCAGGCCACATCAGCAGCCTTGGCCACACCAGTGCCAGGCCTCACCAGCGCCAGGCCCGCGAGCATCCTGGCATCACCAGGAGCCAGGCCCGCGAACTGCCTGGTCAATCAACCAGCCAGGTGGACACCAAGTGGACAGCCAACCAGAGGTCCACCACCTGGGTCATCAACTACACATGGAGTCACTGGTCTACGGTCATCGGGCAGCAGGGCAGCCACGTGCAGCATCCTCCGCGCCTTCTTCTTCTGCGAGGTGCCAATATGTACGAGCACGATCGTACATCCTGCTGCACCGTCAGCATCGACCGCCGGGCGACCCATGAACCCTCAGCGTGCACCGTCGGCACTCTACACCGACGGCACACTAACAAATACCTTTAAATGTGTACAAACAATAAACCATGTATAAATAGCAATAGTTTATACCAATAAAACAAATATCAACCGTGCGTCGTTGTGTCTNATCGGGATGGAGTGCCTTACAACCACTTCATATTTTCTCGATTGCTTTAACTCTTTGACCATTTACCATTATTGATATTCAACTTTAACTAAACAATGACCTTATTTTGGTCTCCCAATACCAAATCAATTATAAATTAATTAATTTCACTACCATTATTTATTGTTACGTAATGTAAATTACCATTTATAACCTTTAGCGAGCAATGTAGCAAAACTGACCAACTCGTGAATTAACATTTTTACTGAGCGCGGTCTTAACATCATCATTATCATTATCAAATGGTAACAAACCAAGATGCTATCAATTTTACCATTATGTTATGTAGCGAACCAGTCTACATAATTTATTTACCATTACCAATTAAGTTAGCGACCAAGAAGCTAACAACTTTACCATTATCAAGTTATGTAGCGTACCAGTCTACATAACCTACGACCATTACCAAACCAGTAGCAATCAAGACGCTACAAACCAAGAAATAAGATCGACCAGGTAGTAACCAGAAGCTACAGATCTTAAAACAACCATTTTTACCAAGTTGTAGTAAGCAAGAGGCTACAACTAACCATTATTTTATTTATTTATCACTGTGGCTTGTGCATTGCCACAAAATCTTTATTTTTCACATTACCATACTTTGCTACATTGCGAGCGCATTACTACCATTCAGCGATTCTCGCATAGTTTCACCTTTCTGCAACTAAGCATTTCGCAGTCCATTGACTTCATACCAAGTTAAACATTTATTACGTTTTCAAGTAAACATCTTAAATTCACCATTAGGCAGTGTTAACAATATTAGGCGAGGGAAATTATTATTATAACAACCACAACTACCAATACTTGTCCTTCACTACCATCCTAATTCCTACTTTTCCTACCAACGACTACTAAGTACCATCATTTACCACCAAGTTGAGCAACTACCACCATCATCAGAACATCACCAACCTGACAGCAGCGGATCAGTTACCGGCCTCCCGGAAGTGGGTCTCACCGGTAACCGAGAAGTCGCAGATGCTGTTCAGCGCAACATAAGCCAAGAGGGCACCAATGAAGAGGACAACAGCCAGGAGACAAGCAGCCTGGATAATCGACCAACCACTGGGACATCAGCCTGGCCACACCAGCGCCAGGCTGCACACCAGCTGCCTGGCTACACCAGCGCCAGGCCCACCATCAGCCTGACCACACCAGCGTCAGGCTCCACACCAGCAGCCTGGCCAAACCAGCGCCAGGCTCACCATCAGCCTGACCATACCAGCCTGGCCACACCAGCGCCAGGCTCACCATCAGCCTGACCACAGGCCTCACCAGCGCCAGGCCCGCGAGCATCCTGGCATCACCAGGAGCCAGGCCCGCAAGCTGCCTGGTCAATCAACCAGCCAGGTGGACACCAAGTGGACAGCCAACCAGAGGTCCACCACCTGGGTCATCAACCACTCATGGCGTCACCGGTCTACGGTCATCGGGCAGCAGGGCAACCACGTGCAGCATCCTCCGCGCCTTCTTCTTCTGCGAGGTGCCAATATGTACGAGCACGATCGTACATCCTGCTGCACCGTCAGCATCGACCGCCGGGCGACCCGTGAACCCTCAGCGTGCACCGTCGGCACTCTACACCGACGGCACACTAACAAAGACCTTTAAATGTGTACAAACAATAAACCATGTATAAATAGCATAACATAATACCAATAAACCAGATATCAACCGTCCGTCGTTGTGTCTCATTTCCCCCCGCTGCGGCCAAGACACCCTTAGCCGTCGCTATGATCAGTCCGGTGAGTCTGCCGGGCTGGCAGCGGGTCCCCGCCGCCTACCTGCCGTCCTAACGCTGCTGCCCTGGGCGACCTGGGCACAGCTTCCTTCCTATCACATCTTATTATGTCTAAGTATTTATTGTTAGGCAGGGCTAGGGCTCTAGGGACTTAGTGTCTTAGGGAATAGGGACTCTAGGCTCACTAGGGAGTTAGTTCCCTTCCTGACCGCATATCCCGGGCACGGGAGCGGTGCCTTACAACCACTGCCTCCCGCCCGTACAGCTATAAAAATGTTAAATTGGGATTAATCGCTATCCATCTGTTAAAAAGGACACGTAAGATCATTATTTGGTTTTATAACCACAAAAATTGGTCTAATTTGTCCCAGAGGTGAGCCCAAAGTGAGGCCTCATCTTTTAAAAAGGACACGTGAGATCATTATTTGCTTTTATAACCACAAAAATTGGTCTAATTGGTTCCAGAGGTAAGCCCCAAGTGAGGCCTCATCTTTTAAAAAGGACACGTAAGATTATTATTTGGTTTTATAACCACAAAAATTGGTCTAATTGGTTCCAGAGGTGAGCCCCAAGTGAGGCCTTTTTTCAAGTCACATTTTTATGGTACCTGTTAATTGTTTATAAAAAAAAATGTGCAAGTTTATTTGTTGGGCTTTCAAATAACACCAATATATGTATTTGGGGCACCATGATTGTGTCAGAAGAAAATCTTTAAAGTTTGCGTCGCGGAAGGTGCGATTTATTTGATGTTGAGTGTAGTTTGTTCGTGTCTATCTTACAGTGCTGGACAGAGGCATTGGGACACTTTATAAATATATTATATTTTATTTTGATATTTATTTTGTGTATGACCATATACTACAAATTCATAAATTTAAAGAACATATTAAAAGTACCTTAATGAAAAAGTTTGGAATGTTTAACTACCTAGCTCGCATCAATACTTTTGACTATAATTTGTACATTTTAAAGACTGTAACTGTTTCTTGCGCTGCTTCTTCTCAGCACTGGCCCATTTATTGTCCCGTAGCAGTGGTAGGGTTAATACTGGGACGTGTAAAAGTGCTTTTTAAAAGCCTATTGGCAAAAATAAATGAGTTTTTTTGACCAAGGCGACCGCGGCGACGTGACGCCGGTGCCGGGCGCGGGCCCCGCGCTGCGAGACGCGTGGCGCGCGTCGGTCACGGCGCACTGGCGCCACGCCACGCACGTGCCGCCCATGGCGCTGGTGCACAGGCTTCACACCGTTCTCAAGGTATACCATCTACGCTTCTTTCTTCTTCTCGTCGTATCGTTCGTTCTTTCGTTCGTTTCAGCCAAATGACGTACACTGCTGGACAAAGGCCTCCTCCAAGGTTTTCCACAATGCACGGTCCTGCGCTGCCCGCATCCAGGCTCTTCCCGCGACCTTTACCAGATCGTCGGTCCACCTAGTAGTAGGCCTGCCCACGCTACGTCTTCCAGCCCGTGGTCGCCACTCGAGAACTTTTCTACCCCAACGGCCATCGTCTCTACGAGCTATGTGCCCCGCCCACTGCCACTTGATTTTCTGCGAGCTATGGCGGGCACTTTAGTTCTCCTGCGAATCTCCCTGCGTGATCGAATCAGAAATCCTCATTTCAAACTCCGAGCATAGCCCGCTCCATCGCCCTTTGCGTGACCTTGAGCCTTCTTATGAGGCCCATAGTAAGCGACCACATTTTTTTTTGTGTTGAGCGGATATTCTAGTTCTATAAAGTCTCAGTATCACTGCGATCGGTACCGATCTATTGTGATCGCCACTGTTTTCCTTACAGTTCGCCTCCGAGTCCTGCATCCATTAGGTAGTGCAGTATTTTGGGGGGCGGTATGTTTACATCTTGTGGGCTTAGGATGTGTTTGCCCAGGTGTAAGCTCCGCTTGCGCATCAAAGGTCCGCAATCCGTGAGAATGTGTAGTAGAGTTTCATCAACCTATACAGTGTCAGCCCAAAACTCCGCCACAAGAGTGGTGTTGTTAGCAGATGAATAAATCTTTTTGCGTGCAGTTGTTTGGTTTAATCTAAGCTAATAATCAAGTTTAATCACAGCTAGCCAAAGGGCTCTTCCGTGATTAGATCCGTAGAGGACTAGTGCGTGATTAACAACACACGTGCCGGCCATGGCACAGGTGCACAGACTACACACCGTGCTCAAGGTATACCATCTAAGCTTCTAATTAATTTATCTACTACTTAATTCTCTGATTTTTATTGCGTCCCCATTCACAGCCATAGAGGACAATATGTTGAAAGTTGCACACATTGCGCCCACGGCAAGCAGCAAGCATATTTAGCTTCCCCCGAGAAGTAACGGGATTTGTATTTACAAATCGTCGGCCGTTTGGTGTAGTGGTTTGAAACGGACTACTATTCCGGAGGTAGCGGGTTCGATTCCCGCACAGTACAAACATTTGTGTGCCATGAACATATTTGTTTGTATTGGACTGGGTGTTTTCTATGTATAATAAGTACCTATGTATTTACAAAAAAAAAGTATTTAAGTATGTTTATATCCGTTGTCTAGTACCCATAGTACAAGCTTTGCTTAGTTTGGGACTAGAAGCGCAGTGTAAAATGTCTAAGGATATTTGTTTATTTATTATTTATTTGTTTAAATTGCTGATATTGTTTAAAAAATATACTGGTGGCCCTCTATAGATCACAAGTCACAACATGTTAAAACAGATTGCGCTTGGTTACTCAAGGTATATCGTTTACTTTTTTAGTAATTTTATTTGGGGCCCAATCAGAGTTAGCCCTCTTTAGAGCATATTAATTTGTAAATGGCTCACGTGTCGCCCTTGGCGCTCATGTATAAACTATACACCGTGTTCAAGGTATATACCACCCGATCTTTTAATTAATCTTTTTGGGGGCCTGATTAGAGTTAGCCCTCTGTAGAAGACAATATTATTGAAACTGTACACGTGGCGCCCGTGGCACTTATGCATAGACAACACACGGTGCTCTATACAGTGTGAGTCACGTTAAAGTGTACATATGAAAATAGATGAAACTAGACCTATTTTTATCGACAAAAAATAGGTCAAAAATTTTTTGAGATTTTTTTTAAATTTTTTATAGAATTTTTTATCTTCCAATTACTTATTGTAAAGAAAACGTAATAACTTTTAAACTAAGCGGTATATCCTGATAAAATAAAAACAGTAATAATGCTAAATAACAGGCAATACTAAAAAAATACATAAAATACACAAAGGCCAAAAAATAATAAAAAATTATACTTTTTGAAAAAAATCTGCTTTTAAATTCGTGTTTTTTTGGTTATTTGATGAATTTCTCAAAAAAATGCCCGTATAACAGGTGGTTTTTATTACTTTGTATTATTCTCTATCGTATTATCTTTGTAAAACCAAAAATCGCATGTCTCTATCCCTATCACAACATTTGCTATAAACGTTTGAATAAAGGCCTGCCACAACATTATTCTCCGCTGCAGGTAGAGAAAATTTTAATTTTAACTAAAATGCTTATTTTACTTCGAAATCTTTTGTTTTTATTTGAAATTTAACTTGTCTTTATCTAAATTACAAATCTAGAGCCATTTTCAGTTTCGTTGTTAACGAAGCGTTGAATAGCGCGCCCGGAGAGGCTTAGTTCAAACGATCATTGCAAATGTTGTGATAGGGATAGAGACATGCGATTTTTGGTTTTATGAAGGTAACACGATAGAGAATAATACAAAGTAGTAAAAACCCCGGTTATAGGGGCATTTTTTGGAGAAATTTATCAAATAACCAAAAAAACACGAATTTAAAAGCATATTTTTTTCAAAAAGTATCATTTTTTATTATTTGTTGGCCTTTTTTGTGTATTTTATGTATTTTTTTGGTATCGCCTGTTATTTAGCATTATTACTGTTTTTATTTTATCAGGATATACCGCTTAGTTTTAAAGTTATTTTCTTTACAATAAGTAATTGGAAGAAAAAAAAATCTATAAAATTTTTTAAAAAAATCTTAAAAATTTTTTGTCCTCTTTTTTTGTCCATAAAAATAGGTCTAGTTTCATCTATTTTCATATGTACACTTTAACGTGACTCACACTGTATATACTACTTAAACTTTTAATTAATTTTATCCGCCAATCACAGTTTTACCCTCTGCAGAACATAATATATTTTTTATTGGTTTTCAGTCTTATGATAAGAAAATAAGGGTCATATTATAGTGGCAATATATGGTATGGAGCCTTACAAATGGTTAACTTTCTCTTGGGATCAATCTGACCCTTTTAACGACGTAATATTACAAGTTTTCTTTGTTGTCATCTGTCATCCGCATTGCACTGAAGCACCCAAAAGTTAAACGTGGGTTGATCACTAGTTTAAATTAACATTTACTATGGAAATTACATTTTGTAATAAGGCACAATGAGTCCATCTGTGACATCGAACTGCTCCTATTAACGAACTATTTTCTTCTGATCAATTTAGTTTCGGGCGCCCAATAACAGTTTAACTTTCCTCAGGACAAACTTGTTGTGATACCACAGAGAGAAAAGAGAGCTACTTACTATTTTTTGTAAAGATTCAATCATATACGAAAGTTGACACCACTACCAATGATCACTTTTTATGAGCTGTCACGCGATTCTTCCAAATATTCGGTATGGCCTTTGGGTTAGCATTGGGATCGACAGCTAGGGAGTAATATTATCGACCTGATTGCTGCTGCTTTAAAAAATATCTCCACAACACTTAAATTGTACGATTTGCATACCACAGTAGTTTAGTCAGGGAAAGAACAGACGAGTTACTTTAGTATAATATACATAAAAACTAATAAATCATAAAAAGAAGGTTTTTTCAGGCCATGAAAAAGTATTTTAGAGAAGTATGGCTTGGAATTATTGGCAAACGGCATCATAGTCAACTACCCAATAGTATGCTTGCAAGTATTAATTAGAAAGTACGTACCTTTGGCCGTTGTCTTTGCACCGCACCGTCATATTTTAAAGAGAATCTACGTTAGATGGAAATAGAATGAATTTAATTTAATTTATCACTTTATACTGTAACGACAAAAAACAGACTGATAGTTTAAAGCTAGTCTCAAGAGATAGAGCAAGACATTAGAACCGGAGCAGTCTTCCAGTCGGCTGGTCCGACCTGCGATCACTCCTCGAATGAGAAATATTATCCCATATTACGGCAGGAAAGATTATAATTAATGACGTCAATAGTTTTCTAGAAACGCCCGTTTTCCTCCCACCTTCGACTTATAATCCACCTTCGAGACAAGGGCTGCCAAAAAAAGCTTCATTAGGGCTACCTGACAGCGGGGCGTGAGATGAAACGCTACCTGAAGTTAGTTGTTTAAATCTAACGACCCGCCTCTGCTTCGCACAGGTACGAAACTTAAAAACCTTCCTCTTGAATTACTCTGTCTATTTAAAAAACCGCATAAAATCCGTTACGTAGTTTTAAATATCTAAGCATACATAAGGACAGACAGACAGGAAAGCGACTTGTTTTATAAATATGTAGTGATTTGAAATGAAATCTATATGCATATATCCTAAGAGAACTTACGTATCTTATTGGTTGTCTCAATCACCTTGGTCTGCAATGTATGCGTATCATTACCCATTTCATTTCAATGTCCTACTGATTACTATACTGAATACTCTTGTAAATACCCCTAGATTAACATTGCTGCATAAACTTTACGAATTACATGATGTGTAGTTATGTACATCTTAAATTACCCTTCAGAAATGTAATATTTATGTGATACACATGTGAATAAGAATGTGCATCAAAATGAGAATCATTAATTTATTTGGAAATGCCATAATTATAAATAATCGTTATGTAATCCCTTTGTAAGGCCTACGTGATTACATGAAGGGTAGTTATCGATCGCAATGCGGCATTTTTAACGGGCATGCGCAGGATAATGAGGGGAAACATCCGCAGTGCCCCCCCCCCCCTCTCCCCCTTTCCCCTATTATCTACCCCCACTCATTACACCCACCAGAAATGTAACGTGAGACAAAATGTGTATATTGATCTCGCTCATTACACCCACTTCTAAAATCTGAAGGGAGACAAAGGGGGAAAATAATATTGTTTATGTTCCCCCTTTTCTACGAACAACGGTCTATGTCTAGGGGTGCCTCTACATTTACTTTATGTAATGGTAATTATTTTAATTATATTACTACATCTAACATGTATACCGAGAATCACAATGGTCAATCATATCGGGTCCAAGTCTAAAAGTTGACTTGCGCCAGCGCAATGCAGATTCTAGCTAAGCTAGTAGCTTATGACTACTTCATGCATTAAGATTACTGAGCTTTTACGATTTATGGACTTTTACGTTACGATCAGGTTACACTTTGAATAGGCTAACGATAGAAAATTAGTAAGTTATGGCGTTATCTAGTGATTTCGTGATCAATTTGGTCTTTTTCACCTAAGATGATCAATATGTCACATCAATGTTATCCATATTACGCTTACTACATTTGCAGAGTATTTTTTCAAAAATATTCTGCTAATGTAGTATGCGTAATATGGATAACCTTGAAGTGACATATTGATCATCTTAGGTGAAAACGACTATACAAGCTATTCGTGACCTGTAGGACAGTGCCGCTGTGCACTTAGGGCAGGGGCCTGGACTTATGTGATCTACTTGTGGCGTCATCTAGCCACTCGAGGACTTTTCTGCCCCAACGGCCATCGTCTCTACGAGCTATTTGCCCCGCCCACTGCCACTTGGCAATGATATTATAAATAAATAATCTATACTAATATTATAAAGCTGAAGTTATGGAATATGACGTTCAACCACCATAAGGAGCTATGGTGCATCTAATTTACCAGTCTTGGTTTGTCTATACAGGGTGACTGGAACTGAACCCGCCATAGCTAATAGGCGTATAGAGGAGGTCATTTGCTAATTATTGAACCTTACTTTCTATGGCTAAAGTTTTATAGTTTAGGAGATATGTCAATTTTTATACTTTTTTCAGATTTTTCCGAAATTTGACCTAAAAACTGCTTCAATTTTTTTTCTCGCGTGATTTCTACAGTTTTTTTTATT